TGTTTTATTGAGGTTATAGTTTTCAAATAAAAAATTAGGTATTAGTTTTACAAATATTCTAAAAGCTGAATTATGAATTCTACACTTACTTCTGAGTGTCTACGCCAATGAAAAGTTTTCATGCAGTTTTAATTCCTTTTAAATGTTTAAAATCTCATGAAATATACTAAATTGAGAAAAAAATAACATTAATAAATCCAGCATAATAAAAGAGACGATATGAATGGTTTCATTACTTCTAGAAATCAACCTGAATATTCTCCGTTCAAAAGGCTTGTCATTAACTCAGTAAATCCGCAGATAACGCTTAATTTGGTTTTGAACCAGCGACATCATTAACACCGGAAATGTTTTATGGGATATCTATTGAGTAAGAAATTTGGAATATTTTTAGACTTTACTATATAAATGTTAATTACATTTAAAACATAATGAATTTGTTTGCAAGTATAAAGTGAATTTTATATAATAATATAGCCGATTTTAATATTAGTAACCAACACATTATTTTTCTTTCGTTGCTTTTACGTTGCCTGAAGTATGAGTGTAAGAGAAAAGGAAATTTAACATAGAATAGAGTGCGTCAGAAGCAGTTTCGCCCAACAACTCAAATTGCTACAAAACCAAAACTTGAGTTAAGTTCTTAAATAGACCCATAAAATCAGTTCAGAAATATCTAAACTGTCAGTTGTGTACATTCTTCTTTAACATTGTGGACTGGCGCTACATAATCGTAAACAAAGAAAAGTACCAAGTAGCAGAAACCACAATACATGAGGACTACCAAAAATAGCAACAACTAAAAGGAATATTGACACGAAGACAAAATAATGATATAATCATGATGTTGGCATTATGCTGGAAAGAGCGATAATGGCTATCGGATTTGATGAACCTGTTTGTTCCTGAAAAATTGTTTTACTATAAAGATTTTATGAATTAAAGTCGATGAATCCCAAATGCATCCTTCTAGGGAATCGGCTAATATTACTATTAGACGAAATAAATGAAAGTTTTTTTTCAGATACACTAATAATATAAATAACGATAAATGAATTTTACTACTATGATGATAACTGCGTAATAATAAACTGTCATGAAATAAGAATAGTCAATGCAGGAATACGAATTTTATTTTTTGTTCGCCTAACACAGAAACAGAATCGGTTTAGAAAATCTTCTTGTAAAACGGAAGCGTTCAAGAGGTTAAACATCTGATCTCTCTAGGGTGATTTTTTTTATTATAATGAAAACTGCCCCCTTCAACGGTTCAAAAGTGTATAGATGTTGACTATTCACATAGGAATTGGGCAATACGACAAAATAAAAGACTTTTTCTTGCTTCAAGTGTTTACTTGTCAAGAAAAACAATGAAACTTAAAGAATCTTATAACAGGGAAGAGCAAGTGTCAACAGCTACAAATCACATATGAAGTTACATTTTATGGTATTGTTGAAGTGAATAAATATAGAAATTGTTATCTAAATGCAAAGATAAATTAGAAATCATGGAACTCAGTAAACGAGTGTTCGGTTTTAGAAAGAATTTTTCTTTTTTTTTTTTCGGCATAAGTTGACTTCAGTATAGAAATAGTTGTACGATACTTTATAATTATAAAAACAGAATAGTCATGAACATCGATTTCTTTCGCTTCAATCGGCACTTCTCTGGAGAATTACAATATCTCAAAATATATTACACATTTCAACCAAGGTATTTTATGAAGATAACATCTTATGGCAAGTAGTCTTATAGTGCTTGATATCATGACATTATTAATATATATATATATATATATATATATATATATCATTTACAGTGAATATGCATATCGGAGTATACGCTCTGTTTAGTTTTTAAACAGAAATTTATTTTTGTCTACCTACGAAGTTTTATTTTAAAAATGCGCCTTCTGGCTTTATTCGAAATTCGTATCTAACAACGGTTTCTCGTGCAAAGAGGAACCCAATTTCGAATCCTGCCTGAGGGCGCATTTTGCTTGAATCAGATTTCTCGAATATTCAGGAGGATAGACGATAATAAATACTATTTAAAAAGTAAACGGAGCGTCAACTGAAATATGAGTATCCATTATAAAAAGCCTTTAAATATTTATCAGATTAATAAATATAAATCAATTACTACACTACAAATACACACACACGCATATATATATATATATATATATATATATATATATATATATATATATATATATAAAAAAAAAGGCTTAACACTAATATTCCATGGTCATAATTTATTCCATTGGAATCGTAAATACGATCCAATTCATCAGACCTAAAATTCAAAAAGAAAACAGAAAAAACAACTCCGGGAATAAAAAAAAAAATTAGTGAGTGTGTATGTATGAGAGTGTGGGACGAATGTTAGAGCTATAAAGAGGGGTAACAGACGAGAGAAGAACAGGAGAAGAGCAGGAAGGTCTAATGAGAAAGGTGGGGGATTGAAATCTAACAGAGAGAAGTTTTAAAGAGGAGAGTCAACGACGTAACGCGTTAGTTGGCACTTAGATGATGTTATTTTTTGTATAGTTTCGATGGACGTCAAATTCTAGACAGAGATGAGGTTGTGTTGAATGTTCTCTATTTGTAAATTATTTGTCTTGCATTTGGTGAATGAACCTGCAATCATTTTGGTATAGTCTTATAGCTTTCCCCAAACTCATGAAAATGCCGTCACTTATTCATGATAACCTCATATATCTCCCATCCCATAGTATTTCAGTTGTTTCTTTCCACACTCCACTCTTCATCGGCATTACCCAACCAATTTACTAAGGTTTATTTATTTGATTGGTCCGCTTAGATTGACTGATTAATTAATAAATTAAGCCGCCTCAAATGTGTTTCAGCAGAATTTATTACCTACTTAGCTCCAACAATATAGAGGAAGTTCTTCTGGGCGTGTACGATTTTCGGTTTAGGGGGAATAAATAATATTTTTTTTTTTATAAATAGTTAAAATTTTTATTTGTGTTCAATATTTAGAAAGTATACTTTACAAATCGGTGCTTGGGCACTTATTTTATAGTTCTATTTACATTTTCTTTGATAAAATTGAAAGAAGAATTAGGAATATTATTCTTCGTCCGGATCTGGCATCTCAGCCCCAGTCACTAACCCACCGCCATAAAGTTGCCTCCCTGTACATTTTCTCTAAAAACGTTTATGTCAACTATTCGGATGATCTCTTCGCTAAGGTACCTGAACTTTATGAACTTAAGCACAGAGAAGGTCTCTTAATTTATAGTTCAGCTGGCTAGAGGTAACTGTGTGTTCTCTGGTAACAGTTTAATTTCTCGTACCTCTCGCTATTTCGGTCCAATTCTTTTCCGTTAATTCAACAATTTTAAATGATATGCCAATCGTTGTTTGCTGTCTTGCTGATTACTCTTCTTTTGTTTTTGCTTCTTGGTAATGTTTCTGTTTTCAAATCCTTCCATATCCAGTAACCTGTTGTGGCATAATGGCTTTATGCCTTTGCTTGGGGTGAAGTCGATAAAAAAATAAGAATGGCCATATCTTACTGGAAGGGATGACAACCTTTCAAGTGGCACTAAATGTGAATTATTTTCTCGGTTCATTTTCCAGGTTTATTCTTATTGCTTTCAAAATAATTCTTTTTGTTTTTCTATCTTGTCACTATCCATTTGTTTCGCCATTGAAGAAGCCCAGAATAAATCTTTATGCTGCATTTTCCTCATCTTTTTTCTCCGAAAAATGATTGATTGATTTGAGTTTTTACAGGTTATCAACACTTTATCGGTTATTTAAACCCAGAAAATATTTTGACAGTTTAAGAATTTTTTTTTCAGATAATGATGGTTTAGTGTTATGTCTTGTCAATTAACACATAGTTGGGCAGAAGTCGACTCATAACTTTCCCAAAAGTATGTGAGTGTAAGTGAATATAACAAATCCAACTGAATTGGAACTCGCCACTCCGATTAACAATTCTGAGCCATTATCCATTACACCATCCGCACCTCCAAGCACCTCCAAGCACACAGCACCTGGTATTCCTAAGTCGTTATGTATCAAGGTAGTTACCATGTCCAACGTTGCTTCAATTCAGTGATCGCAAGGGAACTGGTAATTCAACGGGATATGGCCGTATGCCCCGAAGAATAAACTTAATATACAGGCAGCAACAAACGATGGAGAATTCGCGTGAATATAATCCTTCTTCATTTATACATCTAATCTCAATTTTGATAATTTTACGGTAATAATTTGATTTTTGATTATTTCTTTCTTTTCTTTTTAATTTCTCATTCGATTAAGTTTCAAATAATCGAGTGTACACGCATATATAATTTAGCAGTTCCTTGGACATTGACAGCTTTGTAAAAACACACAGACCAAAATTCAGATTAGAATGTAATTCCTTAGATTATACACATCATGATCTATATTAATTAATTAAAATACATACACATATATTATTACGTCAGCATAAAATGGTTTAATGCGTATAACCACAAATATCTGTACACACAGACACACAGGAAACACGCACACACACTGATACTCATATATGAATATATATGCATGATTTTAATCGTCTTTATCTATAAGCAAGAAGCAATATAAATTCAAGGAATTTGGCTAATAGTGGCGCTAACTTATAGTTCGGAATATCGACGCCACCTTTTATGTGAGCTGTATTACTCTACTGAAAACTCTGTTTCATTTTGTAACTGTTCATTGGGTGATTCGTTTTCTACAGCTTATCAACATTTTACATTTTATTTTAATCCAGAATATATGTTTAGATTGTAAGATTGTTTCCCCTTTTGGCAAGGGGCGATAATAACGCTTTAGTTATAAAAGTCTTATTAATTAACACATATTTAGGAGAAGAGATGAATTCATACCATTTCCAAAAAGAATATCACGAAGCAACGGGAACTGAAAACCATCCCTCTGATTAACAATTCCGAGCCATTATCTATTTACACCAACCACGCATCCAAGTTTTCAGTACCTGGTATTTCCAAGCGGTCACCCATCTAGGTGTTGAGCAGGCTCGACTTTGCTTAACATCAGTAATCGTACGAGAATCGGTGTTTCAACGTGATGTGGCCGTAAAAAATGTATTGTAAGAATCTAACAACGTAATGTAACATTAACTACATTGAACTATGCCTTTACCTTTTTTTCAGCATTTTTGCCATCTTTTTTGCAATTTTATAATTCCATCTTTTCAAATTTGTTCTCTTCAAAAAGATACGTCGTATATAAATTTTACGGTATTCGATAGGACTTATTAAAAAAAAAATTAAAAAAGCTATTAAAAAAAGGTGTTAAAACGGATGTAGATGTTTTGCTGATAGTGACATATCTGGTGAATACGATGAATGATTTCAAACATCCTAGCTTGTATCTGCTCGCCTGTGAAACATAAGATGTGTAGTATTATAAATTTGGTATATATCTGAAACTTTCTTTTACTTATACTTCCCATCAATAACTACCTTCATTTAGTCGCTTTGGGATGAGAACATACTCGAATCAATGAGTTTTTTTTTCCTTTGGAATTAGGTCATAATAGAGGAGTAATTATCAATCCCAAAATATACACAGCACTTGTTTCGTTATATGAAGACCGGTGTTTATATTATTTAATCGAAGTTTCATTCATTTTCTCCCACGATCTCGTTCCTTACCTGTAGAACTTTCATTTTCCGTTGCTCATCAAAGCTTGTAGTCAACAAGTAAAGGCCACACATCAACACAAGTAATATAGCCAAACTGATTTGGAAATGGTTCGTCTACTGGATATACCTATCGACATCAACCCTATTGCGCAACACTGTAATATTGTTTTGCAAGGCATTTAGACAGTGATGTTTATTGATAATATCTTCTTCATAAACTACTAAAATTTGTCTTTTGTGCATTTGTCGTATTTTTTTTAATCTTTCTTAGACTTAATTATTGATTATATTTCATAAGTCGAAAAATATTAATATTTATTGCAAGAATCAATAAACAAAAATAAGTTAATGCAAACATTTCTCAAAATTGCTCGCTGTAACAAATGTCATAACAAAATCATTAACGATCATTTTGAATGAAGTCAGTTAAACGATCCTATTGTTACATAATTACAAAAATAGAACGAATACATCACAACTTTTTAGATAACCAATTACTTCAAATAAATGCTGTAAACTAAATACTATGACAGCTGTTATTTTTCACAATCACATTTACCCAGATCTTTTATAGAAAATGTTATGCATGTTTGTCTGTGTTAGTATTACGCTAATATAAATGTCTATGAATATATATCCAAAATATACCTATATTCATAAATGAATTGGGATTTGTAATAAGAAAGGACGAGGAAGAAAATATTATTGTTTTATGTTATGCTCACAGACATGGAACACAGTTGGCTCGGGTGAAACCGAATTTACTGAAGTATTTTTCGAGAAAAAAATCCAGAAGGATTTACAATTTTGATATAATGTGTTACTATTTTCACCTGTATGCAAAAAATTATTTGAAATTTGAGAATTTAAATTTTCCTATTTTCCTTTATTATTGGTTAAAACTAAAATTTACAAAATGAGATGATCTTCAGCAAGTTGGAAATATAATATATTTGACTTGTCCCTTATTTACAAAGTGATTAATATGAAAAATCCCTGAATTTAAGATAAACATATATTATTTACATGTATCAATGATAGTTAATTCAGTTTATCCAAAAAATGTTTTGAGAAGTATTTTTCCAAATATAAAATGGATATATTTGCTTAATATACTTTTAAAAGTATCTAATATTGATTTTATTTCATAAAAACTCGATTGTATACATGAAGCTGTACGTAATAGAAAATGGGATATAGTGTTGTTCCTTAAAAAATACTAGCCAGGTTATTCAACTCTTCTGAAAGATATACTTAGATAGATATAAATAAATACGAACAGATTGACATAGATAGATAGCAGATAGATAAATATATTGATTGATTAATTATTTTTTTTATTATTTTTAAATTGAGTAGAATTACGTATTTATTATTATAATTCATATACTAAAAATACTGAAGAATATCAAAATTATTTTAATCACTTGCAATCACATTGTTTTGACTTTCAGGAATAATTTGTGTTAAATAACGGGGTTGACTCGGCTATCTAGATTTCAGTGGTAGGCTTTCCTAAGAGAGGAACACATGAATTTTAAACAGTGATGTAAACAACAAGAAAACACTCCATTCCTTTCACATGACTTTATGACAATTCACATATAAGAAATAGAATTCTATGGAGAACAGTATGTTTAAAAAATTTCTCAGAAGGACACTACCTTTGCACGAATTCAGGTAAGAAAATAATTATTCCTAAATGTAAACGAAGCATTTATTTTCGTGTACGAATTGCTGAACGGCATTTTTATAAAAGTATATTAGCATAAGTTAAAATAGTAAAAATGAATGAACTGAGAAGAAAAAAGCAATCACGTAAATGTAATTAAAACAAAAGGTTAGTAAAATAAAAAAAGGCAGAGGAAAAGCAATATTGAAATATAAAAGCAGGGGAAATTATAAGAATGAAGAAGTTAGATGGAGAGAGAAAGAGAACAAAATTATTATAAATGAGAGAAAAAGATGTATAATTAAACAGAATATTAAGATAGAAAGCAAAATAAAAAAAATAATACTAAAAGTTTTCACCAAGAAATAAAATGTGTATGCTCTGTCATGTTCAATTCTCAAAAGTAATCTCAGTGGCATGTATTGTATGCTAATGAATATTTTAATTTTCCATACTAAATGAAACATCCAATGAATAATTTATTTTCTCTGGTGTTTCAACATTATCTTCATTCAGCACACATTTGTCTCATGTGCATATACGCAAATTTCCTCTTGAGGCTGTCCATTCGATTACAAATAATAAAAAATCTTCAGAGGAAGTTGTTACTCTCCCTAAGTGTATTTAGAAATGATAACAAAAAAATAAAATAGTGAGAACGAACTAACATATTTTAAATACTATTTTTTATTGCGTCATCATTATTGCTGTGGGCTTTGAAGATCACTCAGTGGTTGCGATATGCTTTTGTAAATTACATTGTAAATTGTTCTATTTTATGATGAAACACATAAATAATAATAATAAAAAATGCTGTGATTTGAAGAAAAAATAAATAAAAGCGATATTACAAACTCTTTGAACGCGGAATTTTAATTGGCTGCATGCGAAATAATGATGAAGATTTAATATATCTGCGGCAGTGTAGGCTTTGTTTTTTCATTAACAGAGCTGAATTTTCCTCTACTGTTTTTTCTCAATAAAAATTTATGATGATCAATTTTTGATAAATGTTCTTTCTCATAAATATTTGCTTCTGTCCATTAGATTTCAGTATGGTTATTTTTAGAAATCAAGTGACAGCAAGTCTCTCGTATAGTGCATGTTTACTGACAGATATATTGTGTCTATCATTTCAATATCTAGCATATCAATCTTTTTCTATGTACCATGTTTCATTCAGGACATTGGCGATCTCTACAATGTCATATCCTTTATAGCTATTAATGAATTTTGTCTTTGTGTTATCTTTCTTAAACCCTGATCCGCTATATATTTACTCAAGGTCGCTGGGTAGATTATTCGTTGATTTCTTCTGTCTCTTTTCCATTCAATCTGTCCTGTGAGTGTACTATTTTTCAAACCTTCTTTCCTCATTATGTACTATAGAAATGTCAACTGTCTCATCTTGATCAGAATAAAACAATAAGACCAGTTAGAAAATTAAAGCAGGAAATGTACAGGTTAAATGTTAATATTTTAGGCATACATGAAACTAGGTTGAAAAGCAATGGAGATTTGGTCAGTAACAAACATAGGAACATATACACAGGCGGGGAGAAAAATCAAAGAAGAGTGGGACTTATATTAGACCAAGATATGAAGAAATGTGTTTTCGGATAGTGTCACTAAATTTATTCTCTTTATTTTCTCTCACTATATATTAATATTTTCACAATAAATTTCGTATTAAAGAAATGATTTTGGTCACATTTTTATCGATTGATTTGATTTTTACAACTTATTTACCTTCCGTAGGTTATTTAAAGCCAAAACGTATGTTTGCATTGTAAGAACAATTCTTTTTTACTTAGCGAATATTGCATTAACAATTTTTAGAAAATAATTTTTTTCTGTTGCAATTCTTACTATTTAACTCCTAGATGGGGAAGAAAAGTAGGATTCATACCTTTCCCAAGGGTATTTTCGCATGTGAAGATAACAAACCTGACTGGAATTCGAACTCGGCTTTCCGATTTCTCATTCTAAGCCATTATCCATTACATCACATGCACATACAAGCTTACAGCACATGATATTACCAAGCTGTCACCCATCTAGTTACTGACCAGGCTCGACTTTGCTTTATTTTGGTGATTGTACGAGAACCAGTGTTGCAACACATTTTTAATATAGACATCTATTTATATGAGCAATATACCGTGTGGGTTTATGGTTATATTTGCTAATCCTTATGAAAAAATTTTGGAAGCAACTTGTTTAGGTTGGTTAAGATTTTACTATATTTAAGGCTAAATCGAATATATTTTTTTATTTATTAATCGGAAAGACAATGGCGACATAAATATATCTGCGATAACCAAAACATATGTTATTTTATTTACAGATTAATATTGGTGTGTTGACATTCATCAATTTTTAAACAGTGTTATTGTGAACCTTTATAACTCTTCCGTTTTTACATTATGGGGGTTTTATTTATTTAAATATGTATCTTTTCCATTACTCTTGAAACATGTATTCTATTGTATTAATATGTGGAAAAGCTAGTGTCTTTCATTAATTTTGCATCTTTGAACTATTGAGGAAAGAAGTACAATATTCCGGTTTTAATATCTGAAGAGGCATCACTTCTATACTAAAACCTGTGTATTTTTTCTTTATAACTGAAAATATTTCATGTCCAAGGACTTAAAATATTTCCATATATTGACATGACCATCAATTCCGATGAGACTTTTATCTTTAGCATTCCAATACTAAGAGAGAACGTAATGACATTTAGTTATGTTGTTTTG